TACATGCGCAAGCTCTATGCTCTGCGCGAAGCATTAAATCATTGGAAGCTTTGTCTTTCGGGGCGCTGTTTCAAGGTCTTCTCAGATTATGAGACCTTGAAATGGATAAAGGAGCAAACCACCCAGTCCCCCACATCGACTCACTAGTTCCATGAGATTGACATCTTTCGCTTTGAATTTTAAACACAAAAATCGAGTTGCTGATGCATTGTCTCGCCACCTTGTGAACTCCTATGACCTCCTGAAGAAACTGCAGGAGGAGCTCGTGGAGCAAACTGCCAAGGACCCGGACCTTAGTCCGATCCTTGAGCAGCTGCGGGATGACCCCAACAGTCAGCCTGATTTTCATAAATGTGAAGGACTGGTTTTCCAACGCTATGGAAAGAAGGACCGTTTGTGTGTACCCAACCATGAGCCTCTCCGCACACACTTCTTGGACTTGGCTCACTGTCGGACTGGACACTTTGGGATGGCAAAGACTTATGGAAACCTGCTACATGAAAGGATCTGCTGAGAAGTTTGTGGCTGAGTGTCAAGTCTGTCAACGAATCAAACCATCAAGCCTGCGGGGCTGCTTAAACCTCTTCCCATTCCCAACAGTCCCCAAGAATCTGTCTCTATCAACGTCGCGGACATGGGAAAGACATATAAGAATGCATATTCACAAGTGATGGTGATTGTTGATGGATTTTCCAAATTCCTGAATCTGATTCCATTACCACCTCATGCCCCAGCTGAACTTGTGATCCATGAGTTCCACCAGAAGCACATTCTGCAGTTCAGGACCCCGAAAAACCCTTGTGAGCGATCCGTTCCCGCACTTCACAAGTACTGAATGGAAGGACTTCACATCCCAACTACCTGGCCTCAAACTGAGCATGACATCTGGTCGACATCCCGAAGCCAACGGTTTGGCTGAGGAGATTAATCAGACCGTATTCCAACTTCTTCGTACCTTAACTATTCTGGATCAGGAAACGTGGGATGAAGAGCTATATTCGGTCAAGGGGTTGTACAACAACTCCATCCATTCTTCCACCGGCATGATGCCAAACAGGCTGTATTGCAGTTGGCAGATTCGTAATCCGCTCTCCTACTTGTTCCCTGAACACCCGGCTCGACTAACGCCTGGCAGACCTGACTTCAGCGCCAAGTATGGTCACTTGCTCAAGGTTGCCATTGCAGCAATGACCAAGCGGCAACACGCCATGATCCATCATGCGAATAAGAAGCGCACACCTTCGACTATCAAAGTGGGAAGTTATGTATGGGTCAAGATGTCTGAGTTTTTGGAAGAAGATGGAGTGTCATGCAAACTTCTCCCTCTCTATTACGGTCCGTGGGAAGCCTTGGATGTGGTTGGTGACGATAAGTTCGTTCCGTCTTACGTAATTGTCGTGCCTCCTCATCTGCGCACATACCCAGTCTTTTATGCATCAAGCTGTTTATATATCGTATTACTAAATCTTTCGACTATGGCGAAGGCATGATCTCTCACGCAATCAATGGCGGTCACAAGATCAATGGAAAAAGACACGTAGGGGAAGGACATAACAGACAGTACCGGATTCATTTCATGTATCACCCGTTGGACAATCTCCGTTGGATCTCAAAGAAAGAACTGCCGCGCAACGCACCTCGCCTTGTTAAAGCACACGAGCGACACATAGCCTCTGATGCTGTACCAAACATTTCTGCGCAATTCACTGCTGCTGAGTATTCACGAAAGGAAGGAGGTACCGGCTGCTTGGAGGCCGCGCGGCCTAGGAAGTCACTCGCCAAGGAGCAAGCAGGCCGCTATATCTCCAGGAGGAGCAAGGTACTCATCATCGGTGTCTAAGTTTCACAACACACCGGTTGGAGCGCTGGCTGGAGCAGCACTGCTGGGCAGGAGCAAGGGCAGGAGGAAGAAGACCAGGACTAGGCAGGAGCGCCAGAGGTACCTACCTACTTACCTGGCTATGGTGGATACCATCTTCATCACCTTGGTTGGCGCTGCATCTGGAAGGCCCCCATTGGGGTAGGGCTGCCCCAAAAAGCTTCAAGGCAGAGGCAGGCATTGCGGCCTGAGCTAGAGAAGGCATAGCTGCTTTGTGCTGCCCTTTGCACACCAGGGAGGTGCCCTGGTAGTTCGCCATAGCCTCGGCCGTGAGAGGAGAAGAGTGGCCCTGGCTATGGTGGACCTCATGTGATGCCTGCAGTAGAAGAGGGATTCAGACATTGATTCTGGTTCAGCCATTCAACATTCTTATTATTATTTCTTGTTTGAATGAGGGGGGAGGAGATAAGGAGGAGAGTGGTTGGCGAAGTAGAAGGGAATTCTCTTAGGTCTTTGCTGGTGTTCATCTTTTTATTCTTCTTTCTTTCATATTCTTATTTCCCCCTCTCTCCTCTCAAGTTCATTCATTTCTTTTGCAACTGGACGGCGATGTGTACCTCGAAATTGGCCAGGATCATAACAAAAGCTTTTGCATCGGCCACACAACCAGCCCACATGCCAACCCAGAGGCTCAGGTTCAGAGGGCAGGTCAAAGTCCGACAAGATACGACCTCCACAGTGTGGTTCGAAAGGTAAAACAACAGATTGCCTAAAGGCTCAGGGGATGTGCCAATGGAGTGATTCTAGAGGGTACGACGAAGAAGAAATTGGGGTTGAAGAGAACGACCAGGTAGGGAGAGTCCTACAAAGCTCTCGACAGGACGAGATCGGAGGCTTAGACAAGAACAGATGCTTCAAAAAGACTACTCTCCTGGTCAAGGGAGCAAGCAGCTCAACAAAGATCAATGGCGGAGACACAAATAATACTGAAGCCGGCAAACTTCAACGAAGCCCTCCACGAAATGACCTTCAGAGAGGACAAGTGAGGTCATCTTAAGATGGTGAGGACGACTTTTCCTGTGCCTTTTTAGGACGAGTGAAACCGTCTTAAGATGGTGAGCATAATTTTTCCTGTTCATTTCTCGATCATACAGTTCGAGGGGAGGGGTTCAGCAGAGGTGGCGAAAATATACAGGGGGATCAGAAAGGTCCACGAACGGGTTGACCGTTTAGAAAGGTCCACGGACGGGTTGACCGGTCAGAAAGGTCCACAGACAGGTTGACCGGTGGAACTTGAAAAAATTTCCGAGTATCATTTCCAACTTTGATTCCGAATTTAGTTCAGAGTAGTTCCTCTTAACTACTCTAAGCAAGTTTCAGACCCAAGAGTGTCGCCCGTAAATATGAAAACGATCCACTGAGATAGGACAATCCGTCTTCAGTTCACTCTTCCCACTTTGATTGGCCGTTTCCCACTCAATTTGTTTTAGTCCACAACCGCCCTGCAGTCCACATGACTCCTTTATTAAAAAAAGAAGTATCAAGACAGCTCCATTCTTTTTTCTTTTTTTGTGTGTGAAAATTGAGCCACAGCTTGCTAGCCGGGGTGATACGAGCAGCCCAGGTAGCAGTGCTCCCTGGGTGGTTCAATGTAATTGGTGGGGAGCAGCACCTGCTGGAAAACGGGTCCAGCATCCCACAAAACCGATATAGAATCAAGTACATGCCAAACTCAAATGTCCTCGGTCTATCCTGTGTCCCTCCATCCGCTAGCTGGACCCCCACCTGCTGGAAACCGGGTCCAGCGTCCCGCAAATTCGATGTAGGATCAAGTAGTGCACGCTAAACCCAGAGGACAGCTCCATTCTATTCCGGGAGGGCTCAGTCCTTTTTCCTACTCCCAGCAAGTCATCTATGGCACAACAACAGAATGTGGGTAGGTCTCTCAGTGTTATTTGTTTCTCATTAGAAACAACTGTATCATTAGACAATCTGCTACCTGTAGTCAGCTTATGTACTGTGTTGGACAGTCTGTTTTGCAATCACCCCATATAATCAAGCTTTCCTCAATTCTGAAGCAGAACCATTCCAATCATTCATTCAGATCTTTTTTTATTCCCCCCGCAAGCAAATCAAGATACACCAATAGACTGCAGGTAGGTCTGACGGCAACTAAATGTCAGCCTATCGAGTCAAACGTTGTACCTTCTCAATCCACTTGCAGCAAAATCATTCCAGTGATTTGTCAACCCCGTTTACAGCAAGATTTCATTACAAGCTCTCCTCAATTCTAAAGCAGAACCATTTCCCATCATTCATTCAGATCTGTTCTTATTCCTCCCCGCAAGCAAATCAAGATACACCAATAGACCGCAGGTAGGTCTGACGGCAACTAACGTTAAAGAGTTTGTTGCTCGTAGTCAGCCTATCGAGCCAAACATTGTACCTTCTCAATCCTCCTGCAGCACAATCATTCCGATGATTCGCCAACCGCAAGATTTCATTACTGCCCCACACACACACACAGTTCGCGCCCGAGCTTCCATCTCAATCCTTCACCACCCAGCTCTGTTCCTCTTTCCTTCTTCCACTTTCTTTTGTGTCCACTCCTACAATACATTCGCATAAATGGAAGGTAATGTTGACAAAACGATGGTGGAAATCACAACATGCGAGAACCAAAGACCAGAATTGGTTGTGACAACCACATAAAACAACCATAAACAGATAGAACATGATCAATACTACTTAGTTTCGAACTCACGGCACTTACAGTGTATGGATAAGTCACGGCACTTACAGTGTATGGACCTTATCGTGCACACCCTACATATCACAGGCAGTGTCTGATGGTCCCCACCATGCCAAGGTCTAGCCCTATGCCACTCCCTGAGCAACCTGGGTATACCCATCTACCACAGCTTTTTCAGTTGTTCTGGTCACACTGTGAATGCAACCTAGAGGTGCTCCAGCTTCTGTCACCAGTAAATGTACGGCCACCATCCGCCTCACCAGAACTGAGGCGCAACAAATAAGAACTAAACAAACAGCAGTGTTTCCAGACGTCTCAATTGCCAAATAAGCCACCGGGAAAACAAAAACATCATACCATGCTGACAAGTGTGGTGCCTACACCTTAAGGGTTAAAAAATCAGCGGAAGGGAAATATAGGGAGACGTACCCTTTTGCTCCAAGGCCAAGTCCTCCCCCCAACGTGAAAGCGGAGAGGGGCATTCCTCCCATTGACATCATATATTGACTCCCGTTGGCTGCGCCCATATGACTAAGCCATTGCTGCTGATGCGCCTGTCAGTGACCAATGCAACCAACACAATTTTCCAATAAGCGGGGGCCCAACAAATAACAAACAGAATACCAACCAACGGGAATAGCTCAGTTGGTACACCCATAACGGTCGAAATACAGACAAGTTCGAATCCAGATGGTATCAGACAAACAGGATAAAATCATTCTGAATTGCCTGGGGTGCGGTTGGTTCAATGATGCTATCTCAAGTCCGTCACTCTTCAGCGGAGCTACAGACAAGCTCATACCATACCATATATGTGACGCATGGCATGCATGCAGATTGCACACGTGATCACACCATACCACGTGCCAACTGCACACATACACATGCCCTTGCACCAATGAAAATAGGGGTCTGCTAGAAAGAAAGGATGGGGGGTGGTGAGAGGGTGGAGGCAAACACGAGCACAAAGAAAAGAAAATGCTGCAATGTTCAAAATCTTTTGGAGGGGTCTGTGCTCAACAATGGGCCCTTGGTAAAAAAGCCCGTGCATCACAGTCAGATACGTCCCTCTTGACTTCCAATGTCAGCCCAGGTAGCACACGCCTTCTCCAGGATGTGCATTTGAAAAAATAGCGGAGGAGACACGGGACAACAGACAAAGGAAACTATCATCTCAGGATGTAAACCATTCCTGTCAAGAAAAGCAAAATAAAAAAATAGATGACCTAGGGAGAAAAGCGAAAAGGAAAAGAGACGACTTAGGGAGAAAAGCGAAAAGGAAAAAGAAACGACTCAGGGAGACAGAAGATGCAAACACATGCACAAGACATGCCCCCGCAGCAAAAGGCAAGGCATAGATCCCCACATAAACAGGAAAACCATCATGACAACCATCAGGAACAGAAAACAGAGAACAGCCGAAACAGAAGCAAAGATAATTCTCGGCCTTTCTGCCAAGACCAAGTGGAGTATCTGTTCTGATCAGTCTAGTATATGATTGGTTTAAAAAAAAAAACAAAAAAAAACAAGCAAATGAATAATCACTTCCTTGGAATGGACACCAGTCCTGACAATGGATCATAAGCAGCTGCTGAAACAATAATACCCAAAGGCCCAATGTACTGCAACCTCTAATGTCAATAACACACGGTTTGAGCATTATAGAAAAAAGTGAGATTAGCGATAACCATAGCCGTCCATGGAAGCAAGCTCGTTGTTTGCTACGTGTTTGCACAATGGCCCTTAAGTTCACTTCAAGGGCGGGCCTAGGATGAGGCCTAGGCCCAATGGGAGAGAGAGACGCCCACCACCACCCACACACGTGAGCTTATCCCTGTTACTTTCTCGCATTGATCTCTCTCTCTTGCTTGCACTGGGCTTACATTATAGCAGCCCGAACAAGACTTCTCTGTAAACACAACCGCCCCCAGACCTATTCCTGTGCACTTGTTGGTTTTCACGAACGTGTGGAGCAGTTCCAGATTTACAGGGCTACATCAGGAAGCAAAAATACCCCTTCGGGCTTTTAACTCTGACGTCCCTGACTGCAATTTCAGCGTTTTTTTTAACGAAATCATCATGTCCTGCTGGCCAGGCCCTGTAAGCCCTTACAATTTCGGTTTTAAAAACGCCGAAATTGCAACCAGGAACATCAAAGTTAAATGCCTAGTCTTGCCATCCAGAATTATTTTTTTTCGCTCAAATATTTTTCCCTAACAGATCAGCAGTTGATACGTCTCTAAATCTTTTCAGAACCTTGTTATGAGATATCGTGAGCATGAGAAGTTACTGACATTGATACACTCGAAGTTTTGCAAGACCTTCCGCCTTGCAGTACACCCGCCCTTCCTGTTGCCAGCGATCATTACCACCACAGGCATCGCTAGACATGGGGAGCGGACCAAAAATACCCAGACACGCATCGGTCATATTTCCACAATGTAGGGCCACAGAGAGCCATACATATGGGTAACTGTATACGTGGCCGCATCTGTGCGCTGCCCGGCCTATTGTAGCGCAGTCACAACCCATCTGAAGGGTGACATATCAGCCCCGCAGCTAAGGGCATTAATGCGTCCTTGAGTAGGGATGTGAATTCTCATGGCCAAAGCTAGAGTCACAGATAGGCCAACAGATAGACCCACAACGTGACCCTACCTTGTCGTTGTGGCCCCTTGTCATTTTGCCCCCCCCCCTTGTCCTTGTGGCCCTCATCATCCTGGCTCTCATCATTGTAGCCCTTGTCACTGTGTCCCCCTTGTCATCATGGCTTTTCTCATCCCCTTCTCATTGTGGCCCTATCTGAGGCCTAGCGCCACAACGTGACACTCCTTTGTCATTGTGGCCTCCTTGTCATTTTGCTCCCCTTGTCATCGTGGCCCTCGTCATCCTGGCTCTCGTCAACATGACCCTCCCTTGTCATTTCCCCCCCCTTGTCATCATGGCCCTCATCATCCTGGCTCTCGTCATCGTAGCCCTTGTCATTGTGCCCCCCTTGTCATCATGGCTTCGGTCATTCTGGCCCCCTTCTCGTTGTCACCCTATCTGACGTCCTATACAGAGGTGGGGTACAAGAACAGCATTGCCCCCCTCATCATCATGGCTTCGGTCATCCTGCCCCCCTTCTCATTGTCGCCCCATCTGACGCCCTATACAGAGGGGGGGGTACAAGAACAGCATTGCCCCCCTTGTCATCATGGCCCTCGTCATCCAGGCACTTGTCATCGTAGCCCTTGGCATCGTTGCCCTCTTGGCATCGTGGCCCTCTTGGCATCCTGGCCCCCTTGGCATCCTGCCCCCCTTCTCATCGTGGCCCCCTTCTCATTGTGGCCCTATCTGACACCCTATCCAGAGGAGGGGGTACAAGAAGAGCAGTGCCCCATTGTCATCATGGTCCTCATCATCCTGGCTCTCCTCATCGTAGCCCTTGTCATTCTGGCTTTTGTCATCATGGCCGCCTCCTCATCGTGGCCCTACCTGACACCCTATCCAGAGGAGGGGGTACAAGAAGAGCACTGCCACGAAAGGCAGGCATGCTTGTGCTAAGAGGGGTGATCTGAGCATCATTGTCAGATATATACGTGAGGGTGGAATGGGTGGTTGCTACAGAGGGAGAGGCAGCTCCGGCAAGGAAGGACTGCAGAGCAGGTAGAAGAGGAGGCAGCAGCAGCAGAGGAGGCGGGGGCGAAGCAAGCGCTGCACTGAAAGATCAGCAGGAAGGCAAAATCTGCCTCGTACAAAAGAGGCTCGGACGTATTGGTGGCTTAGATCGAAGTGTGCAGGGTCCTTATGATGAGAAATGACGTGCTCCACTGACTCTTCACCTTTCTTGCACACAACAGGCATTTGCTTTCCACATCCTTTTCTTCCCCTGTGATTCTGAAGTCCTTCCCCAAGCCCCCCACGTTATTTCCTCTGTTTTTTTCGTTCACCTCCCTGTGATTCCAATCAGTCGTTCCGCCCCACGACATGACAAGCAAGAATATGTAGAAACAGACAACTCACAAACATATTGATAACCGAAGAGAAACAGCTACAATCAAGCAGAAGTGCATCGAAAATGCAAACAATAACGAAGTACAAGACAAGAAAGACAAAGCAACAGCAGCAAACAGACACCCACACATCATCAAGGTCTAGCAACCACCACCTGAGAGTCCCAATACCCGATCTCCAGATTATGTGGAAACGTGCTTATGTCTTCAGAACTCACGTCATCAACTCCAGTGTTTTGTCTCTTCCCAACGCCATCATCTTCCAGTCCTTCTGTCGCCGGCCGTTTCATACCGGCTGCTGTCCCTGCACGAGTTACTCATCAATTTACCATCCCAATGAACCGACCAACATCAACTAACCTCAACTCTCTTCCTCGCTTTTCCTCACAAACTTCAACTATCTCCCACATACACATTATGTTCATGTCCCAACTGTTCATACATCCCAATGAACCGACCAACACCCACTATCTCCAACTCTCTTCCTCACCATTCCTCACAAACTCCAAGTCTCACCCACATGCACATTCTGTTCGTGTCCCGACTATTCAGACAATCCTTCGTCCCAGAGATACTCTTGTCCACATCCAGAATGAACCTATTAACCTCCAGTCCAATCTCTGAGGAAGCACCAAGAGATCTTTGTCTCTTTTAATAACCGTTTTAATTAGCTTTTCTTACAAAAAATTGAGGTGAAAATAAGATGCTACTACCAGAGCACTATCAATCGGACCGATGCATCCCAACTCCCAATCTTGATGTACATCCCTTTGAGTGTGACGTCAGAGTCTTCACCCAACTCTGAAAGACATACGTGGATGAGTTACGACATGGCATTGACTTCACAGAGACTCTCTCCGACTGTCAAACTCATGCATATGTGCATTCCATTCAGCACTTCCATGTGTCTTTGGCAGCCCCAATCAGAAGATAATAATGCAGCAGGACTATATATAGCAACTATTCATAGGACGCATAGGATCTATCCCATCATTTTACATCTCCAACATTGTGGTCCCCTTCCGTTCCTGCAACTCTCTCTCTCTCTCTCTCTCTCACACACACACACACACACACACAGAGAGTAGAGTGCCTTGTTTACACCAAGAGAGCCAGCGGTTCAAGTCCGTTATAACAAAGATGGGAAAAGAGCTTCCTGTCACGGGTTCAAATCCGTCTTTCCCGGGAGGTATGGCTGAGTGGCAGAATTCATTGGCTTGCTAAATCAACATACAAAAAGACTGTCTCATCGGTTCAATCACATTTCCTCCATTCATGGTCCCTTTTCTGCTGCTCCACTTTCCCACATCTCTCTCTCTCTCTCTCTCTCCCCCTCTCTCTCCTCACACACACACACACACACACACACACACACACACACGTGGACACAACCGCTGTTCAGCACTCTTATATACAGGATGCTCGACGATAATAAGCATTGGATTGATACCACTCAGAATAGATGGGCCTGATAGGTTTCAAAAAAGGGAAAAAGAACAAAAAGATTACATCCATTGACGATGTTGCTCAGGCAAATCATGGGCCTGATTGGTTTCAAAAAAGGGAAAAAGAACAAAAAGATTACATCCATTGACGATGTTGCTCAGGCAAATCAATTGTCAAACAATTGGAGGCAGAATTGGTTTTGCCACAAAATGCATCCACCAGATACTTGATTTGCCGAACAACTGGTTTCCCAACAATTGGTTCGCCAACAGTTGGTTAGGCCAACAGTTGGTTGGCCAGCAAAAATTGCTTTGCAACAACAACAATTGGCAGACCAATTGGGGAAACAATTGGGAGGAAAAAACAGTTGCCCCAATTAACAGAAGCAATTGTGAAAATCACCCACAAGGAGACTATAAACAAGGGTTCAAGTATATCACCTTCAGTCAATGAAGAAGAAAGATCAGGTGGTGGTCGCTCACTGTTGCACTTTTTGCACTGCAAGCACAAAAATGGGCAGCACCCACATAGCAAAGAACATGAGAGAGCGAGAGAGAGAAAATAAGAACAAGGCTTAGCAGCAAATGGGAAGCAGATGGTCAGTTGAGTGTACCAGATGACTATGGACTGACTTCTTCTTCTTCTATTTTACTGCAGAGAGGTAGATCGACACCGTTTCTGATGTTGTCTATGTACTCACAGCTGATTTGTTGGGACATCAAAAGAATCTCCTGCACGTGATTGGACTTTTTCTCCTGCACTCTAGGGGTGCATCCTTCGCCTTGGGGGTACCACGCCCTGTTATGAGTTCACTTTGTTGCTTTAGTTTTTTTCCGGGAGCAAGCTCCTGGGCTATATTGTCCAGACTCACCTGCAAGTGATTCGACCTGATTCGATTTCGTTCTACTGTACTTCTATCACTAGACTTATCTCCAAGTACCTAGCCCACATGGCTGAATGATACACGTGAGTAGCTGTTAATAAACAGATCGTGAGTTCAATTCCTGATGAGATTAGAGGACATAATAACTTTAGGCGCTACCTCGTTTTGAAAAAGAGACATCCACAAAGTCTACAAAGCCAAATTTCCAGATCAATCTTGAAAGTGATCTTTTTTTTTTTCACTTGTGAGGGAAAAATAAGGTGGGCACGGTAAGTTTGATATCCGCGCGACAGTCCATGGCAGAACCCTATCCAGCATTCGTCACAGCTTGCCAGTTGAGACGCTGTCAAAGCAAAATATAATTAGCATCAGCTTAGCCCCTGCGCAAGGATGACACGCATAAATCGAAAATATACTTACGAAATGGAAGCTTGTACGGAAAGTACCATCTGTCCATCTTCCCCCGAGTGGAGCGCCCGGTCAGTATAGCAATATTTAGGGCAACTGAGTATAGAAATATTTAGAGCAACTTTCAGTCTATATACGGAAATAATGACCCTGCATGCTATTCGCAGGAAGACGGTGGGGAACACTTTCTGACCGAGTTCAGTAAAGAAGATTTAACGAGTGAATCACGTCTGCCACTACTTCCATGTGCAACCGACAAAATGTCCTCCCTCCTCCCATATGTAGTCTTCCATTCATATGTTTGATTCAACTTTCAATCTACATATACAACGCTAATGACCGTGCTCTCTATTGCTGGGAAGACGGTGGGGGACTTCTTCGACCAATTACGGCGGATATCAACCTGCAGAATCCACTGCAAGAAATCCGATCAACAACATCTTGGACAAAAACCGACATTTGTATTCTGACATCATGGGAAGCGGTAATGGAACCCGCACAGACCAGCAGCTACAATGCACCTGACCATAAAGAAGGTCCAGGGACATCACTGCACCATTCTGGCCATGGCAACGTGAATGCAGCAGCCTACATGCATGCAGCAGCCGGATATACGCTGCCACCATTAGGTAACTAATCATTATAGACGGCAGCTACAATCAACTGCATGATTGATTACAGACAGCAGCTAAGATCAGAGGCATGAGCCGTACAGGTACGGTGTCAGCATCTTGAAAACCTCTCTCAAAGGCAGCATTGCAGCTCCGAGTTTTCAACGGGTACATCAGAAAGTTGTGCCTTGACGGNGGGGGTGAGAAGGGAATAACGAAAACACAAAACACGGAAGTGTATCGACACCTGCGCATGCCATGTGCATGGACTCCAACCGGATGTTCATACACATCATTCTGACAAAAGTTCGCTGGGGTTAAAACATTCAGAACTCATCCTTCACATGGACATTGTGCAGAGACACTATTGAACCCCCCCGACTATTTTGGGGATATTCTGGATATTGTTGCTATCGTCTAAGTTGACAGACAGGGGATAAAAGGACAAAAGTTTCTTTATAATCAATGCCGTTCATGAGAGAGACAGAAGAAGGTAATCACTATACTATTGGTGGTATTGACGAGGGAACGAACTGTTGAAGAGGGAAGGAAAGAGGAGAGAAGGAGGGTATAAAAAGTAGGTTACGCTGCCTGCCGCTGTTCTCTAGTAGTAGGAGTGAAACTTGGCACAAGCAGACCTTGACCAAAAATAAAACAGGCCAGAACAGAAATATATGGGGGGGGGGGGGAATGCACTTTTCAGTGCTGGGGGGGTTAACCTGGGGTTGAAAAGTGGGGATCCCTGTTAACCACTTGTGCCAATCGCCTATGAGGAAGTTGCCTCTCGCTAAAAGAAACCCCGTTTGTAGGGGTTGTCTTTTCTATGAGTAAAAAGGAAACGGAGAATGCAGGTGGGGTTGAGTCTGCTGTTGTGGAGAGAGAAAGAGAAAGAGAGAGAGAGAGAGAGAGAGAGAGGAAAAGATAACTATTATACTATCGCTGCTGCTGATGAAGGAAGGAAAAAGAAGAAAAGCTGCCCGTTGAGGAGGGAAGAAAAGAGAGGAGAACGTAACTACATAATGGCTGCTGCTGACATGGACATGAAATGGACAAGAACCTGCTGATGGTAAGGACAGGAAAAATAACAGAAACAGGCTGCTGTGGAGGAAGAGACGACAGATAGAAGAACCGTTGAGGAGGGAAGAACAGAGAGAAGAAGTTAAGTTACATTATGGCCGGTGTTAACGAGGACAGGAAAGACAGAAAATCTGCTGTTGATAAGGACAGGAAAGAACAGAAGCTGGCTGCTGTGGAAGAAGAAACGACAGAGAAGAGCCACCGAGGAGCGAAGAAAAGAGCAGTGCGCCCTCTACAAGCGCCTTGGGCAGTTGAGCCAAATGCAACTGCACTTGAATGGACGGCGAAGAAGTCAACTACACCAGAGCAAAAGAGCCCGTTGTTGACAAGGACAGGAAAGAGAACAGAAGCTGGGTGCAGTGGAAGAAGAACCGACAGAGAGAAGAAGGTCAAAGGTAAGTTAAACTGCTTTTACATTATGGCTTGTGTTGACGATGACAAGGAAGAGCAAAGAAGCTACTGTTGATAAGAACAGGAAAGAGAGCAGAAGTTAGCAGCTGTGGAAGAAGAAATGACAGAGGAGAAGGTAAAAGCTACGTTAGCCTGCTCTGCATTACGGCTGCTGTTGATGAGGACAAGAAAGAGAAAACAAGGACCTGCTCTTGATAAGCACAGGAACGCATACGGAAACTGCCCGCTGTAGATAGAAGATGACACCAGAGAGAGAGGAAGGTACCACTGATGATGAAGACAGAAAAGAGAAAACAAGGATCTGCTGCTGCTGTTGACAAGCACAGGAACGCGAACAGAAGCTGTCGGCTGTAGGCAAGGACACGAGAGAGAGAGAGTAGAAGGTACTTCTGTTGATGAGGACAGGAAAGAGAACACAAGGATCTGCTGTCAATAAGCATAGGAAAGTGACCATAAGCTGTCCTGAACATAAGCTGTCCACTGTAAAAGTGGACACGAGAGAGAGAAGAAGGTAAAAGGTGAGTTAAACCACTGCTACATCCGGACCTATGTTGACAAGCCCGAGGTGGCATTTCCCTGAGCCTAAGATCTCCAGTGCCGCCCTGTACAAAAGAAATTGTGGTACCTGTAGATTTTGGCCAGGTACTTGAAGACAAGAAAAATGAACAGTGCCAGGGGCCGCCGGAGTGTTCGTCTGAGGTATAAGGAAAGGGAAAGGTATAACAGTGGTATAACGTGAGTTAGGGTATAAGGTGAGTAGTTAAGCTGCTCACCGTTTACTTGTAGACAAGAAAAATGAACAGTGCAGGGGCCGTTGGACTGGTGGTTTAAGGAGGTATAATAAGGTACGGTATAAGGTACGGAATACGGTACCGTATAAGGTACGGAATAAGGTAAGTAGTATAACGTGAGTTAGGGTAAAGTAAAAGGTAAGTAGTTCAGCTGCTGCTCACCGTTGTTCTCGAGGAGTAGTTGTGATAACCGCAGTTACAGATCCAGTCGCCTATGCGGAAATTTCCGCTCCCTAAGAGGAAGGGGAGAGTGTAAGGGTTGTTGAGTCCCATCGATCCAGAGCTGTTCATTCCAGACATGCCCGACATTCCCGACATTCCCGACATGCCAGACATGCCGCCCATTCCACCCACTCCGCCCATGCCGCCCATGCCTCCCATGCCACTCATGCCGCCCATGCCGCCCATCATTCCTACCAGTCCCCCATTGCCTGGCATTACAGACATCTCCTTCGCCTGACTGCATTTGTTGCATTTCGCTCTGAACGCATAGTTCCTATTTCCACAACCTGGGTGACCAAAACAAAGAACAAAACGCGACGCCGGAAGAGAAGAGAGCAGAGAAAAAATAACACTTGTTAACAAACAGAAAATCAATTGCACATTTGTCCCTTCATGTAGACAGCATTCAAAGAGAGACCAACAACTCGGTGGAAAGTACGGAGCACAGACCAAAACGGACTAATCTACTGACACGTGGACACCATTGCACGTAATTCGTTGACACAAGGACACACATTGCAAATTTGTTAAAACGTAAGACACATATTTCGCTGAATTGCTGACACGTGGGACACGTATTTTCAAAAATTTTGAAGCAACTCTAGATTAATGCGTGTCATCATTGCGCAGAGGCCATGCTAACCTTCTCGGTATCGTTCCAATATTAACGGATGTCCCGAAGGACAGGTACACATATTTGCAGTCGCACGTAATTGGGTGACACGAGGACACCCTGCCTTACCAACCGGGCCACCCGGATCAGCCTTGGCTGCCCGCGGCCAGTCTGGGCACGGTCAGGGAAGGTTCCTGTAAAAAAAAATAATCACCTAAACTGCTGACATGTGGACACGTATTTTGCACTCGCACGTATGCTGTTGAGAGGTGGACACCATTGCATGCAATCTGTTGGGGCCACCCGGATTAGCTTGGTTGACCGGGCGGCCCGGGCGGCCCGGGCGGCCAAGGGTCAGGGAAAGTTCCCGTGTTTGAAAGGGGGGGGAAATCCAAAAAATCCCGGAAAAAAATACGTTCTGCAGAAAAATAAACTGAACAACTTTTGCCTCAGGGTCACATTGAAATTCTTAGGCCAATTAAAGATAAAAAAAAATCAAATTAGAAAGTGTTTGTTCCCCCCACTTTATTATCCCGGGCCACTCTGGTAACTTGGCACTGCACGTAATTCGTTGACACGTGGACACCATTGCACGTAATTTGTTCACATGTCGTCCAACATTGCACGTAATTTGTTCACATGTACAACGTTGCACGTGATTTGTTCACACGTCGACAAAATCACGCGTAATTTGTTGACATGTGGACACCATTGCACGTAATTTGTTCACACATCAACAACATTGCACGTAATTTGTTCACATGTGGACACCATTGCAAATTATATCCCGAGGAACATCACATTATCTCTTGCGGTACACACATTGGGTTTCGTTCCAGAACACCGCATTCTTCATGCATTTGGATAGAAAACCGTAGCGTATGCATTCGGACCGATTCAACCTTTTGAATGCATCGGGACCATCACCAGTGCGAGGTACGTTTAGAATGATGCACGGTGGTGAGAGGGCCATTATTATCTCCAAAGTTACATAAGCAAAAATTCAACGAGAAAAAAAAAAATTCAACGAGAGGGATATCACGACGGGAGAGAGCCAGAGTAAGAGAAGATGAAGATATGAGAGGGAGCAGAAGCGCAGTAACGAGGAGCTGCGTCTCGTCAGGCCGTCATGATGAGCGTATCTGGACGTACAGTGGAGCCAGGCGGAGGTAGGTATCGATGAAGAACGTATCTGGACATACTGTAGAGCCACAGAGGTATCCCAGAAACGGAGGAGAGAAAAAAGGAACCCGACAAATTGAGCGAGAGGACCAACTATGAGAGAGGGCTACCAACGAGCCTAGCTCAGTTGGTACAACACCCCTGACCTGTCCAGATACACACCTGAGTTCGAATCCAGATGCAATCAGACGAACAGAATATTTCTGAATTACCGGGGACCGGTCAGTTCAAAGATGCAATCTCGAAAAAAAGAAAGAAAAAAAAAAAATGCAATCTCAACGCCGTCACGCTTCTAAAAAAAAGAAAAAGGAAGGGAAAAAAAAAAAAGGGCTTTCGATCTTCAGAGGGACTGCTGACCGGTGGCAACAGAGTGGGAGAAGAGGACAACAAACGATGGGCTGAGACAAACTGTTTCGTCGGAGTTTCACCTCCCTACTCATCAGGAGGATGATATATACTGTCAAACAAAGCTGCCCAGTAAACCGCAGGAAGAGAGGGAGAAGAGGACAACAAACGACGGGCTGTTACAATATATATATTGTCACATTGTGAATCAGAGCGCAGAAGCGAAAAAAAAAAAAAAAAAAGGGGGAAAGAAAAAAGGAAAAGGAAAAAAGGGGAAGGGGAAGAGGTAAGGAAAGCTCCACCTGTTCATAACCTCTTACGTACAAGGCCAGCCACGTGGATGACAGGTTGAGCGCTAGCTGCCCCCATCCCCGTGTGTCACAAGGACCCACTTGCACGCAGCCAAAAGGCAAAGAGGTAAAGAAAAGGAGGAGGAAACCAACCCTGACAGGGAAAGAAAGATAGCGAAAGAAAGATAATCCAATTATCACAAAGCAAATAACACATCCCACATATATATATTGTCACAAGAGTATCAGAGCGCAAATGCGAACAAAAAGAACAAAAAGGAAAAAAGAAAGAAAAACAAGAAAAAATGAATTCAGTTTTTTATCTTCTTCCTTATAACTCCCCCTGTTCAGAACCTCTTGCGTACAAGGCCGCCCACGTGAATGTATACATATATCGTATATATCGTCAAACAGAGCTGCCCGGTAAACCGTAGTAGGCAGAGAGGGAGAGGAAGAGAGAGAAGACGACAACAAACGAGGGGGAGGGGCTGTGAGAAACTGTTTCGACGGAGTTTCACCGACTCATCAGGAGGCTGAAAAATATATAGACATATAGGGTTCAGCCTCCTGATGAGTCGGCGAGACTCCGACGAAACAGTTTGTCACAGCCCCTCGTTTGTTGTCCTCTTCACCCTCCCTCTCTGCCCCTACGGTTTGCCGGGCAGCTCTGTTTGACTATATATAAAAAAGATGTATACAGCAATCAGACAGAGTATAAAGAAAAGAATGAAATAAAGAGTGGCGTCTGGAAACATTTGCATTGAAAAGTAAAAAAAAAACACTGGCGAGAAGATCTGAACCGAAGACCTTCTGGACATCCGTTAAAATCGGGGCGATAGAGAGCAGAAATATAGCACAGCTTCTGCGAAACGATGACGTGCACAGATCTAAACAAATAGAGGAGAATGTAATTCGCGGGCGTCGCAGGGGAGAGAAAGAGTTAAAGTCTTTTCTCGAATTGAACGCATGGTCATCGTCGCTGTATCTAAACTGAAAATTGCCCTAAATACAGCAATAATGCCGAGCGTTCTATTCAGAGAAAGACGTTAGCAGATTGGGTGTAAGCTGTGCTTGTCCAGCGGGAGGGAAACTGGCAGACAAGACAGAGAGAAACTTCTTGAGCAGAAGCACAAGATCGAATGTTTGGTAAATTGCTCTCTCTCTCTCTCTCTCTCTCTCTCTCTCTCTCTCTCTCTCTCTCTCTCACACACACACACACACACACACACCGCATACACACGCACACACACGTACACACATACACACATACACATTCTTTCCTCCTCTCGTCTCTTTGTCCAAACTGCGCAGAGGGAGAGAAGAAAAAGAAATCCTAAGAAAGAAAAGAAGGCAGAATGTAGGTAACAGAGGAAGCGAGAGAGGAATATAGATTCAAGAGTTAAGATTATTACACAGAGCAAAGGGAAGAGGGACGAAAGGAGCACAAGACAAGGAGAAAGAGAGGAGAGGGTAAATGAGAGGAAAGATTAGAGCAAAAAAAGGGAGAAGGAGAAGAGAACTCGAGAAACGAGAACAGGAGCAAACACATAATGCAGAAGAGAGAAGGACGACAAGAGTAAACAGCAGACACCGGATAGGAGGGAAGAGGAGAAAGAGAAAGGAGAACATAGAAACAATAAGGACAGGGAGATGAAGGGAAGGGGGGCAGCTTGGGCAGCAGGAAGAGGAGACAAAAGTCAAAAACAGGAAACGAGGCCAGGAGAGAAAGAGAGAAAGATTTGAAGGAAAAGGAAGAACATAGCAGAGAATTTAGGGAGCGAGAGGAGAGGAGAGGACAAAGTAAGGAGGCCGAAGAGAGAAAGAGAGAGAGAGAGAGAGAGGAAAAGGAAACGAGAGAAGAGAGGAAGTGAGAACAGAGGGAAGGAGAGGGATGTGGAAGACTTGCGGAAGAGGGGAAGAGAGAGAGAGAGATGAATGACAGCAGAGAAAAGGACGATACAGATGAAGACGGTCCAAATGGTCAGAGACGAGAGAGAGGCAAATCCATCAAGGAAATGTACGCATGGAGGTGCAGAGCACGAAACAGAGAGAAGGGCAGACGATTAGCTTGGTGGGGGATGGGAGGAGAGAGAACCCGAGAGACGAGCAAATCCTTCAGGAAACGTACAAGCGGAGGTGCAGAATGATGACCAGAAGAAGATGGGCAGAAGATTACATTGGTGAGGAAGGGAGAGCACGGAGAGGAGGGACAGAAGATTAGCTTGGTGAGGAAGTGGGAGGAGGGGGAGGAGGAGGAGGAGGGGAGGAGGGGGAGGAGGGGGAGGGCGAAGAGGAGGGGGCAATGCAACCTGGAAGATGACGTCAGAAAGGCGCAGCGGAGGTGAGATATAGACACAGCTACCATCTTCCGATAGAATTGAATGCGGGGTTCTCTCGTTTGCATCCAGGTCAGTTTTTCAGTGAGATACATAGATGATGAGCCGGCCCTACAACCAGCGCAAGACGGTAGATAACGAAGTTAAACAGAAGGAGACGCATGGTTCTTGAATGGAAAGAGGCAAGAAGAGGAAAAAAAACACCGCGAATAATAGAC